TTGTGCCCATTGCCCCTTGTCCTGTCGCTGGGCACCACTGAAAAGAGTTTGGCCCCATCCTCCTGACACCCACCCTTCAGATATTTATAAGCATTTATAAGGCCTCCTCTCAGCCTTCTCTTCTTCAGGCTAAACAAGCCCAGCTCCCTCAGCCTTTCCTCAGAGGACAGATGCTCCAGTCCCCTCACCATCCTTGTAGCACTCCGCTGGACTCTCTCCAGTAGCTCCTCGTCTTTCCTGAACTGGGGAGCCCAGAACTGGACGCAGTACTCCAGATAGGGCCTCACTAGGGCAGAGTAGGAGAACCCCCCTCGACCTGCTGGCCACACTCTTCTTGATGCACCCCAGGACACCATTGCCCCTCTTGGCAACCAGGGCACACTGCTGGCTCATGGTCAACCTGTCGTCCACCAGGACACCCAGGTCCCTCTCCACAGAGCTGCTCTCCAGCAGGTCCGCCCCAAGCCTGTACTGGTGCATGGGGTTGTTTCTCCCCAGGTGCAGGACCCTGCACTTGCCCTTGTTGAACTTCATCAGATTCCTTTCTGCCCAACTCACCAGCCTGTCCAGGTCACGCTGAACGGCAGCACAGCCTTCTGATGTATCAGCCACACCTCCCAGTTTTGTGTCATCAGCAAACTTGCTGAGGGTACACTCTGTCCCTTCATCCAGGTCATTGATGAGTAAGGTGAACCTAAGACTGGGCCCAGTACTGACCCCTGGGGAACCCCACTAGCTACAGGCCTCCAACCAGACTCTGCACCACTGATCACAACCCTCTGAGTTCTGCCATTCAGCCAGTTCTCAATCCACCTCACTTTCCACCAGATGGTTTCTGGGAGATAAAAGTCTGTTTGGTTTTTTTTAATTTTCATGTTTATATCAGTTGGTTTAAAAAAAAATGGCTTGTTCCCCTATCTCTAAAGACTTTATCTGTCAAATCTCAACAAGAAAATGATCTTACAGTTGTTGGTTGTAGCACCAGGGTTTCCTCTGGCACTATTTTTTTTTTTTACCCTCTAAACTCTTCTTCAGATTCACAATTTCTCTTCTTAACCTAGCTCTCACGTTTCCAAACCAAAGGACAATTCATGTGACTTTCATTAAAGTTAACAGGAGCCATGCAGCTAAAACGTCCTGCACCGCTAAGTGTCAGAGATTCAAGCCTCAGCAAAGATATGTTGAAGGTTAGTTACTAATGGCATCTTAGAATGACATTAAGTGCTGCTATACAGCCAGGAGTGTCACACTTCTCAGAAAGACATTAAGAGTAAATCTTCACTATGGTAGCAATTATTAGTGTCGTCTGATAGTCCTCATCTCCCGGGAAAACCTTGAAAAGCTGTAGCCATGTTTTTTTTTTTAATTTCAGAGTTTACAGGCCACCACATGTAGAAGAGAGAGCCCTCAAGAAAAGAATGTATTAAATAAAGAATCATCTGTAAATACATCCTGCCAACCATATTAATCAGTTCAGAGTATTACTATTTCTTAGAAACCTCTGGTTTAAAAGCTTGGCTTTTCATTGAAAAGGGGCTTAAAAATGAAAACAATAATAATAATAATCTTATACATAAAAGAGTCCAGATTAGAGATACAGCAATGATCTGTCTGTATGATACGCTTATGATCCCTGAAAAAAATCATACAGCATCTGTTAGCAATTCTGCTGTGGAGAAAAAGTGGGACTTCGAAGAACACTTGAAAACATGACTAGTGATGATTTCTCTGTGTTGTTCCAGCTATACAGGATTACCTAATACATTATGGCCCACATTTTTATTAAAAATAACATCTAACAAGCAATAAAAAACTGTAAAATCTACATTCATAGCTTCTTAAACACCTGCACATGATTCCAAATAGTGTCAGTATCAGTTGGTACATCTGAACACCTGCCACTGGCATACTTTGTAGTTTTTAGAGCATTCACTCATGGTAATACCTATCAAATTTTCTTTTCTGCTAGGAACTTAGATGCATTCTTGTACAGCAGGCAGCATCTCACTCTAAAAGTAATTCTAATAGTTTCATTTGGTGGAGAAATACTTTTTTCAGCACAAAAGTAACCAGAAAGTGAAAGCTGACAGCTTTCCTTTTGATTTACTAAAGGTAAACACGGCAAATGCTCTGATGTCCCTTATCACTGAATAATAATTGTTGTTCCTGCTGCCCCTTCCCAAAAACATGATGCAGTATCTTTAATTGCTCTGCACTGTACCATTTCACACACATGACAGGATTAAAGTTTATAGGTCTATTCATGCAGTGAGGTGAGATATTAAATAACCCTGAGTTCAAATTTAGTACAATCTTTAAACTTCCAGCTCTGTGGGATCCAGATTCATTCCCTTTCTACCTTCCCATTCCAACCTGCTATGCCACTTTTCTTTATGCTTAGTCCTCAGCATGTGTAAATTAGCACACATATATTGGCTTTAATGACTTGAGAAACTCAAATGCATTTTGCAATTCTCTGCTCTCTCTTAGCAAGAACAATGCCTGGCAAGACCGAATAAACCCTGTTGCATGTCAAGCAAATGAAGTACAAATGTAATCAATATACAATAGAGTTACTGTATAATAAAGTCATCATCTCATTTTAATTTACAACACTGAAATTGAAAGATAAAGCTAAACAATAAACAGGGGGAGAAAGGCAGGCATCTCTGCCTATGCAGAGGAGCTAGCAAAGGAAGCCAGGCAAAAGGAGCTTTCTTCTCCCGCATGCAACACCTGAGGCACCTCTTTGCTCAACTTTTTTCAAGGCTGGCACAGGAAAGAGTATGACGAGTCCTCTAGTGAATTTTGTGATTTCCACTGCAGAGAAAGAAGCTAGTTCCTGCCGAAAAAGCACTAAGCACTGCTCACAGTGGAACGTATTTTAGATACCATTTTGCAAAGAGTATTTTTATCTTCTAAAACAATTCTTTGTGACATTGGAAAATTGTCAGTCTAAGTACAACACTACTGCCTGGGACAGGGGGCAGAGCATTCAGCTCTATCAACTACTGACTGAAATACCTGCTGTACTGTGCTGGCAGCAACTTTTACACTTGGACTACTAGGTTGCTCAGGGACACAGAGTTACAACAGCAGATTTTGAAGCACAAGTCCCGCTAGCTTTCATTGCAATAAGAGTTCCAAAAGGTGTCAGACAGTTTTGGGTGCCTCGCCATAAGATACCGATGGCCACACTTACGAGTACCAGGGCTGCAGCCGGTGCTCTGAGTAAAGGAGTAGCTCCAAGGTCTTTTGCCACTTGATTCTGAAGTGAATGCAAAATCTTATCATCTTCCTTATTAGAGCTACTTTACTGGCTTAAAAGCAGTATAACTCTGTAACCAAAATTACATGAAAATAAATCAGCAACTGCACTTGCCACTGACTTCAGTCATTATTTTGCCTATTGCTGCCAAATCACAGAATCACAGAATGTTTGGGGTTGGAAGGGACCTCTGTGGGTCATCTGTGGGTCATCTAGTCCAACCCACCTTCAGAACTTCCTCTGCTTCAGTTTGCGCCCATTGCCCCTTGTCCTGTCACTGGGCACCACTGAAAAGAGTTTGGCCCCATCCTCCTGACACTCACCCCTAAGATATTTATAAATGATTGTGGAGAACTTTCATTTGCACATTATTAAAATTCTACTAAATAGTTATTTACTCAGGAAGCTAAAACAGAAATGTATTATCTGTTATATCTGCTATTTCCTTGCTTTGAAGTGGTCAGAGAAAGGGGAAGGAGTCAATTAAGAAAAACTGTTGGGCATGTCTCAACAATAACAACTTCAAAAGCAAAACAGAAGATATCTTATACCTTCCAAGTGGCCTGTCCTCTAAGGAAACAGCTGTCGTTTACACTACACCATATACAGGCATACTTTGCACAGACGTATTATATAATGCATCATGATGATACCTTAATTTCCAAGGTGAGCTTCCATTAGAGCTGAAGCATCTTTGCATGCTGGCAGTGCTGAATCTTCACCATCATCACCCAGGTGATGGGGATCTGTTGTCACATACTGTCTCACTCTCAAAACACTATCATATTTCACCCTAGATGCTGAATGCGTTATTTGAAAATGGCTTTGGCCTGGAAATTTCATGCCAAACCAAGTCTTTTGATCTCTTAGCGCAGCTGATTGCTGATGACCCACTGGGAAAGCACTTCAGGTCTATCATTAATAAGCTATGTCTTAAAGGGTAATGAGAACGGGGTGCTTTAGGAGACAATAGCTCATCCACCATCAATCAAGATCTGAAGTTTTTTTACAGACGATTT